TTCAGCCATTAAAGTGTACAGTTTGGAGTGCTGCTACTGCTGTCTGTTTTCCCTCCTGAGTGCTTTTGCTCTCACTTCCCATTTTCTTTCTTTTTAAGCTAAGTTAAGTTTATTTCCTCTAACACCTGGTGACTAAGAAGAGGCGTTCCATTGTGGTGTGTATGTACTGTTCATTTGTGTATCTTCTTTGGAAAAAAATCATATATAAATATGGCCGCTTTCTATTTGGATCATCTTTTTACTATTACATTGTAAGAGTTCTATAGATGTTCTGATCACCTTACCAGACATTATTAGAAAAGAAAGTGTGTGTGTGTGTGTGTGTGTGTGTGTGAATTTTCTGCTTGCTTTGGACCAGGTTCTCAAGTATCTCAAGCTGGATGTGACTCTGTTGCCAAAGGTTACCTGGAACTTCTAAACTGCTCATTCCATCTCCCATGTGAAGGGGGAGACAGGGACCTGCGGCCAGTTTCCTGTGGCTATGAGTTTCAAACTCAAGCTATGGCGCAGAATAATCAAACGTTGTAACATCTGAAATCCACCCGTAGCTTCTTTCCTTTGTTTTGTAACTTTCATGCACATGCACACATAATTTAAAATAAAAGAAAATATTTTTTTTAAAAAATGAAGTCTAACTATCTAGACTATTGTGTGTGGTTGTAAAGTCAGGAAATAGGAGGATAAGGATCAGAAGTTCAAATCCACTCTCTGCTACATAGCAAGCTCGAGGCTGCCCTGGGTACATGAATGCATTAGAAAACTGAAGTATGTCTGGTAAAAAATATATACTTTGATGGTTTAATATTCATTTACATTGTGAAATTATTGCTGCAATTTTGATAACTGGTATATTAACTTACAGAGTGTTACCGTTTGGGGCATCTGTGCAATGAGAAAACTTAAGATCTTCAGCATTTTATAAGCAAACAGAAAAATAGCCTTGAGTATGTTCACATTATATAGTGATGCAGCAGACCTCCTATAACTGTCATCTTGTAAAACAACACTTCAAGTTCCTTATCTAACAAATGGAAATGTCCATGTGTGTTCCTTCACAAATAAAGGCTGAACACAGGCATGATAGGCAAGCACTCTACTGCTGAGCTATGTCTCAGCTCCATGAGCCACACTCTTAATTCGTATTTTAATAATTCAAACATCTCAGGGTTTCCTGGATTTTGACACTTTTATTCACATTATCAATATTGCTGTAAACCCTACTCTTTGTAAAAATGCAGAACTTATGGATGTTTGCTGACTTGCATACAACTGTTGCACAATCCCCCATTCGTTTACGAAGTATATATATCGTTTTGAATGTGTTAGTTAAATTTTTCATACATGTATACAGTGTTTTTGAAGATATATGGTCCCACTAGGACCTCCCAAACTTCACCTAGACTCCTCCCCCACCAGGTCCCCCTCCCAACTTCATGTCCTCATCTTATTTTAAAGTTATTTTTATGTGTGTGTGTGTGTGTGTGTGTGTGTGTGTGTGTGTACCACATGTGTGTGTACCTGTAGAGTATAGAGGTATAGAGGCATTGCATCCCCCTGGAGATGGAATTATAGGTAGGTGTGAGCTCTCTGGTGTGAGTGTTGAGAAGAGCAGAGGTCAAACTCAGGCCAGCTAACCAGTGAGTCATCTCTCTAGTCCCTTCTCTTCCTCTTTAACACAGGGAGTCCAACCTTTGTGCCTTTATATGCATGAGTATGTGTCTGTGTATTAGAGCATGAGCAACCTACCAGAGGTCATACTTACCAATAATGCTTCAGACAGCAGTGGGGCCTCCTAAGCCTCCCCCTACCCCTGCTGAAGAGTTGGCTGGCTTTGTGCCAACAACCACAGCTGCTATGAGATCACACATAAATGCCCTGGAAGACACTGCCTCCCAGCAGTCCTCCCTGACCTCAGGCTCTTACAATCTTCCTGCCCCCTCCTCCATCATATTGCCTGCACCCTGAGGAGAGATGGGGTACTATCACAGATGTACTGAAAATATCTCTTCCTAAGCCCCATCCCTTGCTTTCATATTGGGTATCAGGCTACTTGTAGTTTAAGAATTTCTTTTACAAGCTTCATGCAGACAGAAAAGTCTTATTACAGATATTATGGCCATTTGTCTTTCCTGAAACTCCAAATTAAAAGGAGTGTGCTGAAAACCAAAGCAGTGTAGTGTGAACTCTGCATTGAGGGTAGGATCCTGGAAAACCATACGTGTCACTATTTTGAAACATTTGCTCACATCTATGAAATTTTAGTAGTAATTTGCTCTTTCCTTTCCTTCTGCTGTTTTTCTTACCATCTTAGATGTCTATATTATTGGCCCCACTACTTAACGCAGTAAGTTAACTTAATGCATTTTGCCACAGTGCATCCTACAAACACAGACACTTTGTCAGATCCTGACTCCAGTAGATTCCACCCCCTTCCATCTCTCATTCCCTGCCATCCATCTTCTTTCTTACCCCAGCTGCCTTATTCAGGCATAATCACACACTGTCTCTATTACTGCTACAGTCTTTTATCTGGCCGATTTTTATTTTCACTGTGGTGCTAGATCAGTGTTTCTTAAAAGCAATTTAAATCATGTCTCCTAATGCCCCTCTATTACAGTCAAGAAAACATTGAGTCTCCTTATCCCTAATGCCATGTGGTCTGATGCCTGTCTCCTGTTGGCTCCATGAACATTCACTGGCAGAAGTATTTCTTTTCAAGAAAAGTCCAGCATCAAACAAATATAAGTCCTCCCCTAATACTTGACAGGTTTTAAACCTTCAAACTTCAGCACACACACACTATTAAGCTCTTCCATTGATTCTTCAAAAGTTTTGTTCATTGTTCAGCAGAAGATCACTTGCCCTGAGAAGGCTTGGCACGGATATTTAGTTTAAATATTCAGTTTAGTTTTCATGATTATGTTCTGATGAAAACCTTATTTTATTGACTGCTTCTCCCATTATATTGCTTAAGGTGAGAGTTTCTGAGTTTCAGCTTGTGACTTCTTAAGGCAATGTGCATGAACTCTGAATAAAGAGATATAGGATGACAATGAATTATTCTTGGTGCAAAAGATAGAGAAACAAATTTATATTATCAGCAGACTTAGAGAGTGGCAGGGAGGAGATGAGGGAGGGAGGGTGGTATTGGGAGGAAATGGGGGAGAGGGCTACAGCTGGGATACAAAGTAAATAACCTGCAATTAATATAAAAAATAAAAATTTAACTAAAAAAAAAGCAGTACCACAAAAAAAAAAGAAAAAAAAAAGGAAAAGAAAAAAAAAGAATTAGCAGGACAGGAAATGATGGGTCATGTCCATGAATATCAGCAGGCAGGAAGCAGAGAGTGGAGGATTGCTGTGAGTTTGTGAGAATTTGGTTTGGTTTGGTTTGTTCTATCAGAGGTGGCTTAGCCTAACAAGAACTAATATTCCATAAATCTCCCAGATCTGGAAAACCTTTGTTTGCTCAAAAGTCCAGTGTATCCCTGGAACGTGGTAGACCGAAGCAGCCAATCTTTTTACCTTTTCTATTTTCTTTGAGCTCTCGTTTAAATTGGCTAATTCAGAGTACACTTTGAACATCAGCCACTAAGGAACCAAGCTCTTCCTGGCATTAGGAATTAAACACAGATGCCATCCATTCCAGATGTGCTGCTTGCTCGCCCTGTTTGAAACTGTCGTGCAGGGGACATATGTTTCTGAGTTTGACAGCCTGGGCTACATAGCAACATCTGTTCTTTTCTAGATTGTTTCATGCCTATGGTGTTAATCCTGCATACATGTCTGCACCATGTGTGGGCCTGGTCCCTCAGAGTCCAAAGAGCTCCTCTGAAACTAAGTCACAGTTGGTCATGAGTGGCCAGGTCAGTGCTGGGAATCAAATCTGGATCCTCTGAAGGAGAAGCAGGTGTTCGTACCTGCTCAGTCCTATCACCAACCTGATTCTTAAAAACAAAAACCAAAACTACTCCAAAGAATCAATCAGCATGAATATTTTTCTCAATACTACTGACATATAATAACCATTCCAAGTTTTTGAAAGTATTTTATAAATTGGCAGGCAGGCTTATGTGTTTTACCCGTTTTTTCTTGTAGGTAAGACTTTTGGAGTTTTTGACACCAGACTGTCTACTTAGCCTTTTAACTGCTGGTCAGTAAACAATTGGTTTTGAATGTTTTCTAAATAAGATGAGTTATTTTTTTTATCTCAGATAGTAAAAGTATTAGTAGACCAGCATAACTGTTTTACCTTGCCAGATCACTTCTGTTACAAAAACAATTCAGATTGTTTAACTTCTTTGTGTATTTTATATGAGTGAGGTGACAGGTAAAGGTGACTACTATGTTTGCATGCTACAATTCTGAATATTAATTTTAATTTAATGTTATATCCAAGTATTCTATACTTTTTTTAAGAAATTGCTTGGCTTCTTTTGAAATGTTACTATGAGCATGTGACAAAGGCTCATTTAATGATAAAGTATACTGAGGAGTAACAAAATAAATGCAAGTTATATACATTAAATATGTAGAAAATATCAAACTTCATCTCTTAAATGTCAATAATCAACTCTGAGTGTGGATTCAGATATCTTAAGTACTTGCGATAAAAATAAGGTTATGAAGGGTTACCGATTGGCACTAATATTTCTTTGAAATTAAAAGATATGCCACTCATATTCTTCTTTGTGAGACTAACTTGCATGAATTAGAAAACAAACATGATAAATAATATGAGTTGGTATTTAAAATAGCTTACACAAATTGTACGCTTTTAAGTCATCCCTGAATGTTTTGTCAGATCTGCCAAATATCAAGTGGCAATTTGGAAATGATTCCTTAAGTACAAATATATTTTTCTTCCAACTGTGTCCCTGTGAATTTTGCTGAGTTCCCTTCTCTGCAGCCTACAATTAGCAGGCACCATCTATTTGAGTCTCAAAGTGGTGCAAGGCTTACCTACAGGTGGGAACACTGGCTGCCTTATTTCCACTGACCTCACTTCAGTTGTCACATGAAGAACTTGAAGGTTGATAGAAATTGATGTGAAGAGGCCACTTCTGCAGCATTGGTTAGGGGGAGCATTCTTTTCTCTCACAGGTGGAGCTGTTACACAGACGGCTCTCTGGTTATTGTTTGCCAGGTCCTGAAGGTGGATAATCTCTTGGACTTTTGCTATTAATAGTTTGTCTTCCTTCAGGCTTTCTGCTTTGTCTTCTCTAAGGGATCATCCTACCTTCATCGCTTTTGTTTTCCCTTGTTGTACCCTGGCTTCTTTTTCTATTTCCCTTGTAATCTTCCTCTGCACACACTACGTTTCCAGAGCTGATTTGTTTCCCGGAATGGAAAGGATTGCTTATCTCAGGGAGAGGAACTTTGCCCCAGGGAGCTGTTCTGGTCAGATAAGCAGACAGCTGCTGATTGGTTGGGGCAAACCTGGCTCTGCTTGCTCTTGGCCTAAGCCGAGTCCAGGAACACAGCCATGCAATGAGGATGGGCAAGGGGAGTGGGGCTGCAGCCAAAGCTGATAGTAGGCAATGTTTGGGAGTGGGATAAACATTTCAGGGACTCTAAACTGGAATATTTTGCGTGAATTGGTCGTTTGGGCTGCTGTTCTTCAGTATATCCCTCGCAGAGAACCAAAGGCCACTAAGCAAGTACTGTGTCATGGGCCTGAATTTTGGAAACATCAGCCTTTCTCAGAAAGTCCTCCTGCACTACTCCTTTGCAAGCATCAAGTCTCCCAGAGTGTCCTAATACAGTTCTTTCATGAAAATTAGCCCAACCTCTGGTTTCTACTTGTCCAGCATTCCATACTCAAAATGACGAGTTAAATACTTATGGCTGGTTTTCTTTAGGTGGGCAGCAGGAATTACAATGAAAGAATTATTTGGCCGGCTTTTTGCCAGGGAGGATGATCCGTGCGACCCCGCAGCTGTGTGTGGTAGTGACATCTGCTACAGGGCCATCTTTGCCTGCCACAGCTCTGATTACACGTGTAACAGCTCAGAAACTGGCACCAATGCCTCTTCTACTTGCCGATTGTGGATTTTCTCTTTTCATTTTCCTACAGGCTGATGTTGTTGTCCTGCATGTATTCAGTAGATGAAAAAGTGCAGGATTTTCTAAGAAGGCATCACATCGCCCTGTAAATTGGAACACTGTGGATAAATCCAGAGTGCTCAGTAACAAAACGCGTATGTGAGAGCCACCTGGAGACCCCACTGAAACGCAGACCGCTGACCTCACTACCACTCTCAGAGTTTGCACTTACTCCACATGTGTTTTTAAACACATTTTCATGTCATGCTGGTACCAAACCTGGAAAGTGTCTAGAATTGAGGGAATCACCCTATAAATGCCCCAGCTGCACAGCATGTCTCACCACCTGCTCTGCTGTACATCTGGAGGCAGCAGTCAACACTTGGGATCTTGCTATTACCCCTCTGTCTTGAGCACCCATGTTTAATCAGAAGGCATGCTTTATCTTGCCTTCCTCTTCCCTAGTATTTCTGAGATGGTTCATGGTGATTTTTTTAATTTTTTATTGATTGATTGATTGATTGATTTTTAGATGATGTGCTATGTGCAACTTCATGTCTTAGAAAGGCAGTTGTGTCCTTTGAAGTGGACTGGCTGTGCGAACTTGATAGTGGCTTCCTGACCTGGGCTAGCTAATCTAAACTTTTGCATAACAGAGGCTCATGTTGTTCCAGGTCCATTTATTGTAAAGCTTAGGTGGAAAAACCCCTAAGCAGGCAGTTTTTTTATTGCATGAACATTGCAGAAAGTACTTGCAAGAAACAAGGTTACTAGTTGATACAGTATCATGCGGCCAACCTATACTTCTCATCTGTCATGAATAAAATATAAATAGTGGCACATGACAGCACACACACACACACACACACACAGACACACACACACCAATCTTGCAGTTAATCGTAAAGCATCCCATCCACTTATTATGCCCACTTTGCAGATGATAACACTACAGAATGGAGACATTAATCATTGGACCTATGGCTTCCCACATGTGTGTCATTTTACATCATTATCTAAGTGCAGCACAGATGAACTACTCAAAAGACCAAGCCCTTGCGTAGAGTGATGAAAGAAGCAAATGCAGCCTTTCATCTCACATCTCCTAACCACATTGCTCACCATTCTTTCTATTGCCTCTACTACTCCATCACTTTCCTCAGAAAATTTTGTTAATGGCCTTAAATCATGATGTTTTATCAAGATTTCCACAATGAAGCATCCTTTGTCAAAGTCATTAGCATAGCCAACAGTCTCCAATTTTGATCTCACTGTCAGCTTCTCCTCCAATTTTATGAACTCAGCTCTCAATTTGTGGTTTTACCAACAGCTTCTTCCAAAGGTCCCTCGGTATTCCCTTCAGCATTGGATTTCTCCAGGCTTGGAAATTTATTGCTTGCCATTTTGCAATCTTTTTCTAGACAATTTTCTTTTTCTAGTCAACTCCCCTTCCATGAACCCAAAATTTGTCTTAAAGTCATGACCTCTCCCGTAAATTTCAGGATTCCCATGGAAGTATCTAATGACCTAGTGAGAGCACAAGTTTTTAGTACAATGTGAAAAACGATGTTATCAGGCCAAACTGAGTCTCTACAAGGTCGATTGAACTAGTTTAATTTTTGTTTGTTAATACCACAAGCCTCATTCACTTGATTAGATGAGTATTTGCCCTGGTTGCAGCTTTACTCAAACTAGACACTTGTGCACAGGGCAGGTGAGGAATTGACTGAATCAGATGGGCCTGTGGGATTTCTGAGCTAATTTCTTAACTGCTAAGTGATCAAGGTGGTCTCAGCCCACCATGGGCTGTGCCTTCCCCAGTCAGGTGGACATGGGCTATATAAGAATACTAGCAGAGTAAACCAGGGGAAGTAAGCTCTAAGTACTGTTTGTTCATGGTCTCTGCTTCATTCTTTTTCTCTAGGTTCTTACCTTGAATCCCTACTTTTGTTTATCTAGATAATAAACTATATCTAGATAATAAACCATATCCTCTAAGTCAAATAAAGCCTTTCCTTTCCCAAGTTGCTTTTGGTCAGTGTTTTATCACAGCAAAAGTAATCAAACTATAGACAGAAATATTAGCACAAATTTCTCCTTAGAAATTCTACCAACCTTACTTCCAATATAGTCTTTGTGGATGTCCTTACGTCCTCCACATATACTCCTACCACCCTCAACCAGACTGATAATGTGTCAACTGCAATTGGCTTCTTAGTTGGTCATTAAAATTCTACTACTACTCTTCACCTTTCTCAGTTCCACTTATGCAGAGCACTGGGCCTTGTAGATACTAGACACATTCCCAACCACTGAGCTCTATGCCCAACCTGGCCTTGAAGATTTAATCCCACTCTTAGAACCATGCCACCATGACTCACACTACACAAATACTCTCGAAGACAAATCAAGTCAAACTTAGATTCTTGGTCATTACCTCCACTGTAAACTGGTATGATTAGGACATTGTTTTTTTTTTTTTTGTATTATATGTGATTTTATTCTTCAGAATGTTCTATAATGGCAGTAGCCTTTGCTCAAGTTTTTTAAACTCAAACTCTCTTCTGCCTTAGCTCTTGGCACCTGTTTTTTCTGCCTCAAATTTCTGCTTTGAATGACTAAGTTCTCCACTCAGATCTTCCTTCCATTGTGTTCCCCTCTAAGAGAACTTCTGAAATTCTCTTATCTACCCTTACTTAACTTCAATCACATAAATATGCATTATTTTCTTTGCAAATTATCACCAATTGGAAGTTATTCTTCAATGTTGCTTTCATTTTAATTTTTGTATGTGCCTCAACTGAAATGTAAGCTACTCTCTGATTTGTTGGCTTATCTAATTTCATTTTTTCTCTGTGTGAAAGACTTACAATAGAATAACTAGATAATGAAAGGCAAAATATAAATTACTTTCAAAGCTCAGATTGCATTATGAATGCACAAAAACTACAACAAAGGCTCCTGTTCTCTAACGGGAAGAGCTGATTGTGTAAGGTCATTAAAAAGTAACTCAAACTCCATTACATTAACAAAAGAGAAAAATTCCACTAATGTAGGGCTGTGCAGTCTGCTAGTAATTAAAATTATAGTGTTTACCATGTACACAGTCCTCAGGAACCAACCTAGTTTTTTTTTTTTTCTTGAAGTAAGCCAATGTTAAATGGTTATTTGCAAATAATAAGCACAGCCTTATTGAAATCATGGAAATAATGGAGTCTTTACTTAATGAAATAATGAAGCTAGCATATGACAGTCAGTGGATGCTGAAACATTAGGAGAGATGTCTATATGGAACTCTTTAATGGAAGATTTAAAGGAATAAATGTATTCCTAATTAACATAATTCAGATCACAGTTAACATTATTAAAAGATGGAAACAGTGTTATGTGTGTCTTCTGATATAATAGCTAATTCAGAAAAATAATTCATTCCAGATATCCACAAAAATAGAATTAAATTAAGTCTCTAGGTGTAGCTAACTAAATGTGTGAAATGGAAGCACATGCACAGACACATGGCAAGAACATAATCCAGCACATTCTGAATGCAAGGTGCAGTGACAGACACTGGACGCCAAAGACTTCTGCCTAAAATCTACATTAGCTAATGTGAGCAACATCTAAATGCAACGTTGGTGGGAATGGTTGTGCTATGGTATCAGCTGCAGAGAACGAACTGCTATGTGAAGAATGGTTTATGGCATTTTGGTATAATCAAGATAGTCACAAACAGTAAATGTACGTGCAAGCAACTACAGGTGTGAAACTAACACGTTTCTTTACAGTGAACAACATCCTTTTTTTTTTTAATGGAAAGGGAGTGCACTGAGTAAGAGTGATAAAATTGTACTAGTTATATATCGTAGATAACTTCAGTTGTCAACCCAGTAGGAAACTGGAGTCAACTGGAAAACCTCAACAGATTAGTTGTACACATGTGTTTGTCCTAGAACCATGTTTTGTTAACTGCTGACTGATGTGGGAGGGCACAGCCCACTATAGGAGATGCCATTCTCAGACAATTGGTCTCAGTGTGTAGGCTGAACAAGGCAGGGGAGTGAGGAGGTAAGCAGCATTCCTCTGTGGCCTCTGCTTCAGTTCCTGTCTCCAGGTTCCTGCATTGAGCTCTGACCCTGGCTCCTGTTGAAGCTGGACTGTAACTGAAATAAATGCCTCGTCCCCTAAGCTGGTGTATGTCACAGGACAGAAGGCGAGCCGTGAAAATATATTGACCAGTGACATAGTTGTTTGTTACCCTTGCTCCACTACTACATACAGTGTTTAGTGCT